ACTTCCATATGTTTTGTGCATATACTGACCATTTTGTTAGCAAAACACTTTGAGAAAGGTGAAATCTAAATGCAAGATATCTGCACATAACTGGGCGAGAGATGGAAGGAAAATGAGAACTGTGTATAAATATACAGAAGTGATTAGAGAAATGGAGGCTCTGAGCACATTGTACACAAGCTTTGACATTTGATCATTAAGAAGCCAGTGCTGGCCTAATATTCCTGCAGATTTGAGCAATAAAATAAATGCCACAGTGCTGCCAGGTAAGAGCTCAGGCTCCCAGGTTCATACGTTACTACTGCTCTTATCATCCGAGCAGGGCAGGACATTCCCACTGCGCTTCCTTCCATGTTTATGGCACCAAAGAGCATTAATCTCCAGCTCTTGGCAGGCGTATGGACTGATTAAAAACATACAAGAGTTACACAAAGTGTTCTCGTGACCTGGGAGCTGAAAACAGGACTTGAAGTACTTCATAACTCCCCTTTGGAAAAGCAGGAACAGACTAAGCAGAAAGTTCCCCTGAAGATATTCAATCCCAGAGGGAAGGGAAAAGCAGCAGAGCTGTGCCAAGAGGGTTACTGAAATCATCAACAGCTCAAAACACATTGTCTGGGTGACAGCAGAGATGGAACCAAACATCTAGCAGAGGAGTGCTTTGGGTCCTCATAAGCACACAGGGATCTTTACATTGATAAAAGCCTCAAGAGCAGCAGCGTTCCCTGGCTTCAGGAGTTGGGTTTGTTTTACCAAACTGCTCTGGTTCAGGTTTGTTTCCAACCCGAAGATGTGGCTATTTAGGGATGATGAGTGGAGTTAGTTCATCTCAACGGGAGCACTTGAGCCCAGAGCCAAGACGACAGCCCCACATCTGGCTCTGGTTAGATCCGTGTTCTTCCAGGATGCACATTGCCCTTTTTCCTCTAAGCTGTATAGGTTTTGTTAGGCACAAAATCACCCTGCACCAATATGGGATCTGTCAGATTACACAGCAAAGAGCAAGCAAGGCACAGGCAGTGCCAGAAATACCAGAGAGGTACTGCAGGACATGCTGAAACACTGGAAGCTCTCCCAGAACTGCTCTTTCCACAGAGATTCCAGGATTGGTTTAGGTCTTTAAGTGGAGGCATCTACCCACATTGCCAGGAGAATGCTGCCCTGGAGCAGCATCATTTAATAGACTACAGCAAGAAGTACCAACCTGAGTAGGGCAGGAAGCAAATGCCACATGTAGTTGAGAAGGGAGCCATGGATGGGACAAGGGAGCTAAGATTTGGCAGGAGGAGAGCTGCTACACCAAGCGAAGGCTTCTGCTGGAGACCCTCAACAGTGAAGGAGACCACCACTCATTTAGGGTTTAAGAACAGGTCCTCACCTCGTCAGATGACAAATCTGAAGCCCACTTTAAAATCCTTTTCTATTCAGGTTTTCAGTCACACTTGAAAGAGAACACCAAGTTTTCATGTACTTTATACTTACGTTGGGATAAAAGCAATTTGAAGCGACTAGAAAGACAACTATTAGCAGTGATTTCTCAGAAGCAGCTCTCTAGAACACATGGATATGCTTCAAGCCATCATGTTATTTGCTGCAAAAAGCCCATGCCATGTTCAAGACTGCATTAAGATGGAAAGAAAATGTTAGCCTACAGTAAAAGGAACAAGGAAAGCTGCAAGGACAGCACTTCTGCTTTAAGCTTCAGCATGAAAGTGTAATTTATTAAAGGAAAAGAAACTGCTGGATTCTATACTTTATACAAGCCAGTGACTTGTACAATGTGAACTCTGCATGTCATCACCATAGTGGGAGCCATGTGGTGGTGAGAAGGGTTGCAAACAAGCTCCATGTGTGCTCTACATGACCTTCTGCCCATTTACAGGCTCCACCACCTCTCAAATCCTTCCATTTCCTTACACATTAGAGATTGCCACAGCAAGTTTCTTCCCTACTAATTCCCCCCCCTGCGTTATCCAGAGCTCAACTCCAGCTTATCAGACTGTTGGGTTAGGACATTCATGCTCACTGAACAGACAGATCTAGGAGAGGATCACGTCTCATTTACAAGCTAGTGAATGCTCCCAGTTCAGCTCTGGAGCTATCTGTAGTGCCAAAACCAGTGGTATCAGGCACTGCACACTGAGCCTGCCTCCCAGAGCACTGGGGTGGAGATCAGGCTGGCCCAGGGGAAGGGGCTGAGACGTCACTCAGCCCTGGCCCTCCAGATAAGCCAGGCTGGGGCAGCAGAAATGGGAACCAGACAAAGCAAAACAAACCTCTTCCTGCAGCTGGCTGGAAGCTTCCACAGGTCCTTGCTCTCTCCTTGGCACTTCCACTCCTTCCTCCTCCCAGCAGAGCCGAGCCCTGCTTTGCTAAGCCAGCTCTTGTCTAGCACTGACTGTTTATTCAACCTGAAACCTCAGCCGCACACTGCTTCACTTGGGAGGGAACTGCACTTCCAGCAGCCCTTGCCCAGCAAGGCAAAGCCCCAGGTCTGATGAGGCTGGACTAAAACAGTTGCCACACAGTGGGTATAAGCAAGAAAACTGCTGTAGTAAAAGGAAGACAAAAGCACCTCCTGTATGGAGACAGGCTGAGAAAGTTGGGGCTGTTCAGCCTGGAGAAGAGAAGCTGCTGGAGACCTCAGAGCAGCTTCAGTGTCTGAAGGGGGCTACAAGGATGCTGGGGAGGGACTCTTCATGAGGGACTGTAGTGATAGGACAAGGGGTAATGGCTGTAAACTTAAACAGGGGAAGTTTAGGTTAGATCTAAGAAGAAGTTCTTCACAGTGAGGGTGGTGAGGCACTGGAATGGGTTGCCCAAGGAAGTTGTGAATGCTCCAACCCTGGCGGTGTTTAAGGCCAGGCTGGACAGAGCCTTGGGCGAGATAGTTTAGTGTGTGGTGTCCCTGCTCATGGCAGGGGGTTAGAACTAGATGATCTTAAGGTCCTTTCCAACCCAAACCACTCTATGATTCTATGATTAGAAGGGACAGAGCAATGTAGTGAAAAGGGGGAATGGCTTTAACCTGCCAGAGGGGAGATTGAGATGAGCTCTTGGGCAGAAGCTCTTCCCTGTGAGGGTGCTGAGGCGCTGGCACAGGGTGCCCAGAGAAGCTGTGGCTGCCCCATCCCTGGCAGTGTTCAAGGCCAGGTTGGACACAGGGGCTTGGAGCAACCTGCTCTAGTGGAAGGTGTCCCTGCCCGGGGCAGGGGTTGGAGCTGGAGGAGCTTTAAGGTCCTTCCAACACAAACCAGGCTGGGGTTCTATGATGATTTAAGCAGAAAACAACTCCCTGCACACCCACCCCACCCAGAGCTCCCAAGGAGAAAGGCCATCCTTGTGGTGTCAGCTCTGAAAGCACAGCTGGGCTCACTCTGATCCCAGTTTACTCCCAACCAGCACGAAACAGCCTCCAAGCCAAAACACCCAAAGGTCAAAGCTACCACCTTCCACACAGCTAACCAGGGCCTAAATCAACAGCACGATGAAGTTACGAGAGCCTGGCCAATGTTCAGCTGCACTGGCTTCACAGGCTACCAGAAAGAAGGTTTGGTTTTGCTTTAAGGCAGCAACCCTCATTTCTGATAAACACAGAGCATCAGGAGAGAGAAAAACAGACCTTGAGCAGACCAGCACCAAGACAATGAGCAACAAGAAACTGGGTTTAAATGGTGAGAGTTTGTCTGTAGCCAAACCCACACTGAAGATTGCCAACGTGACAGTATCCTGATGTGCAGCAGGGAGGGGAAAACGACTGGCACCAAAGAACACATTGTGCATCTCAAACAGTCTCTAACCTAAGAGGTCTATAGCAAGTTTCAGAGCTGATTCAAGAGGAAGGAGAAAAGGTTTCACATAGCTGCAGCATCACTGTGTTGTTACTCAGGGGTGTGCATGTCTCTGTGGTTCAGTTAAGGTTACAGCAGTAAATATAAAGGTAACGGATGGTGTAAACCCAGTGTTGATCTTTCCCAAAGGCACAGTTCACATTTGGGACCAGCCAGATTATTTTTCACACCAGAGATCTTAAATAGAAAGCACTCTTAGTGTAAGAGTCTATTTTAAGAAAGCAGCTAAATACTTATCAACTCCAAATCAGGATGTTGATATTGGAAGAGACCCATCTCGTCCAACCCATCTAGTCAAGTTTCCACAGCACTTCTCCTTAGGCAGTCTTCTCCATTCTTTCCAGTCCTCTTGTGGCTTGAGCCACAAGCACACCCTTCTGATGGAGAAGTGCCATGTCACTGTGTTCCAAGCACTTACTTCATAAGCCAGAATAGAGATGTTGGAACTTCATGCATCTGCTCCAGTTTTTCAAGCACTATTGGCTATTTTACTTAGAGCTTGAGTGATTAGAATAAAGTTGGGTACCAGAAGACATCTGAGCACCGTTACCAAGGACAAACACAGCACGGATACAGGCTAAAGAAGGTTTCCTTCTCAAACTCAGAGGTGAAACAAGCCTGACCAGTCCAGCCAGTTGCCATTTTTCTAGTGATAAGTCCCTGCTTCTATGTTCTTCCACATATGTGCCACCCAGTCCAAGAGGACAGAAGCTTCACATCCATCCACTTTTGGACAGCCCTCTTGCTGTGTTCACCCCAAGATCATGAACATGCACTGTGGTCTTTGCTCTCCATACTGAAAGAGTCATTTCACATAAACAGGCTCCTCCACTCACTGTGGTATCCTGCACCTTCCCCATGAATGGAGCTATAATTAAAACCACACATGGCAGAGAGACTCAGGTCATCAACACACAAATGTGTGACCAATTCACATTTCCAGCTCCTAACCCTTCAGCCAGAAGACCCAACTTCCTCTCTCCTCAGCCTGTGGTATCTGGAAGTCTATGATAAAGCATCCTGCAGTCTCAAAGTAAAGATCTGCTTGCACTGAGGGTTGGTGCAACTTCACCTGCAACAATGCTGCAAGCAATGATCTCTCCCGCATAGACAGCAACATGATTTTGGTGAGAAGTGGTTCTTAGTTACCTATAGATGGGGATTTGAAAGGGTATTTATCAGGAAGGTCGACTCTAACTTTCCACACTCCACCTTCATATGGTGCTGCAAAGAAAGAAATGCAGGTGTTAGACACTTCATAGAGAAGAAACAGAACTACAACATGAAGCAAAACACAGTTTTGGATGAATACTTGGCTCCATCAGGGGGTAAGATTTCACATCAAACCTCCTACGGTAAAAGCCTTTTTCCTGTGCTGCCTGACAGGAAATCCATGATTTTAACTGCAACTGCAGCAGATCTCAGCACAAAGACACAAGAGCTTCTTAAAACCAGAGACTTTGGAGTCATCTACTTACCTTTCGAGATGTTACTATATTGAGGCACGCTGGAGACCTGACTTGGGAGCTTGGCATTAAAAAAGCCATTTTAATTACAAACTCCACCAAAAATTCAGGTGACTGATGCAAAACTTACGAGCCAGGTCTAGAAAAGCTAAGGCTCAACAGGGCCAGAGCAGAGGGCTTAGCTGTCCAAAGGCAGTGTCCAGCTCTGCTCAGCTCCAGGGGAGGTGGTTCATCTGAGCTACTGCTCGCTGTTGTGTTTCTCCCCGCCCTTGAGTAGCCTTCCAACGCTGCTACCCTTAGATTTCTCAGCCCCACTCAGATTTGCTCATCACTTCTTCCACTCCAAAAGAATGTGTCATTTCGGTGTCCCCCACCATTAGTTTGTTTTTACAGAAGGGCTGGGTCATATACTTACTTCCTTGTGGTCCATAAAACTTCACAACAAATTCATTGAGTCCTCCTAAGATTGTGACTTCGTGCTTGCTCTCAATACTGATTTATTAAGTAAAGGAAAACATTTAGGCTGGGAAACAAAACCCATTTAACTCAGATATGGGTAACTAGAAGCCTGTCAAACCAAATAGTTTCAACCCAAATCCTCAGAATATGCTACAACATGCAGTTGAAGCATCTTTACACATCTAAGTGATCACACCACCACAATGACATTAGGAGAAGCCTGTTCTAAGGCTGAAGAATCCCTCCCCCTGTGTTAAGCAATCTTGAGATGATTTCTCCCTTCCCCTCCAAGCTGCTCAGTGTTTTCCATCTACTTCCATGCAGCATAAACTCTGATTTAAGAGGACAATGAGTCCCTGTCAGAGGCATATTTGACATGTATTTGGGCTGTGGAGGGGAGCTAGAAGTCTAGAAACAGCCCCAAAGCCTCACCACACACAGACACGAACCCAAGGGGCACGGCTCAGAGGTGAGGTGAGGACTCAGGCCTCTTTGCAGTGCAGAGGAGGTGAGCCACAAAGCACAAACGACTCCCAGGAAACCCTTCCTCTCCTGCCCAGCTGAGAGGAGCAGAACTGTGCTCTGACAAACGCAAGAGCTGATGAATTCAATTCTCCTTGGCTGCCTTCGGCGCTGTCAGATGGCCTCCCACAGCTACGATGCAAATGATGGCAATCTCATGTTAATCTGACTTGCAAGACCAAAAACCTCCGAGTCTTTGGAGAGACGGCAGAAGGGTGAGATTATGAGGCACAGTGTGAGAAGAACAAGTGTATTTCTCAACACTGAAAGGCAGGAATCAAAGCACCAGTGCTTTGGGAAGAAGGGAATACGAACAGAGAGGCAAGAAATCTTCATTTCAAGTAAGGTTCTGTTAAGACAATTAAAGGTGATGTTTCAGCACCTGAGCTTGCTGAGGAATCCTGCTCTAAATCAGGGTTAATGAATTGTGAATAATATCCTACAGCAATTACCTTTAATCAATTATCTTAATATGAATTATGGGGGAAGCATCAGAAAAAACACAGAGCAGGAGGAAAATCAAAGGTTTATTCCCACCTGAACTTCCGACTGCTGCAGCTCTGCCCCTGTTTGAGGGAGGGGGGCAAGAGCAGAGACTATCAAACATGATATCCTTCACATCACAGCAGTGAGCCTGGCAGAAACACTTAGGCTAAGAGGAACTGAAGGCAGGTTCCCTTTAACAACCCAGACTTTTCACTCTGATGCAAAAGGTTTTCTGCTTTCAAGGCACAAGATTCGCCCACAAAGCTCTCTGCTGTGTGCCTTCATGGCACTGGGCACACACACACACTCACTTAAATACTCCTGACCCACCAGGAATGTAACTGCCCAGGACCTACTACCAGGAGCACGTAATTCTCACCTCAGGCCTATCCCTGATCTCACACGATGATCTATTAAGTCTGCTTAAGGTGCGTCATGAACTACTTTAAGAGAAGAGGCTTCTGTATCCCAAAGTACCAATTCAATCCCGGCAGTCTCTGTGTGTGCTCCTCAGGATTTATTACAGTTCCTCAAGTACAATGACTCCCAGATTGGACAGAGTTTTCCCACAGTGCCAGCTCCAAAAGAGTTTGGATGCAATAACCTCCTCCTTCCCCTCGTTCTCATGGGGAGGGAGAAGAGTTTATAGCGGTTTGGTTTGGCTCAAGAGTTCTCTTGGTTCAGCATAAGCTGCTCTGCCCTACAGTGAAATGGCAAGTAGCTCCCTGGACCTGGCAATAACCCAGGAGCAGCTCACAAAGGGCAAATCCATGCCTAAATGCCCCAAGTGCAAGTCATTTCTCTCCCTAAAAGTCAACAGGCAGCTCTGGGAAAAGCTCCATCCCTCCAGGTTTGCAGGCAGTAGCTTAGTGTTACATATACAACTATTGCAGCATGCTTCAGACCTGGCATTAAGAGACACTGGTCACCAGATCATGTCACCCAGTACTATGATGGTAGGCTTTAAATATAGGCTCAACTGAGGTTAAAATGTACACACTCATATAAGGGATAACGACTCCAGGTTGAGAAACGGGCTCTTACACAAAGCCCAGGGTGAAACGTTTAGTGCTGAAGTATGTTAACACTTGCAGCAGCTCTGTGGATCAGGTTAAATACAAATGGTTTTACTTTGGACTAAATCAAGTCCCACTTAATAAAACCCAGCTCTCCCAGCCTGATCTTCAGAGCCAGCTCCTGAGCAGCTGAAGGTTGTAATGCTCTGCAAGTTAATACTGACCATAAATTAAAGCAGAGCTTTCTGCACTCAGACTCAGTCCTGGTGTTCCCAGCTTCAGGAGACTGCTAGTAAGCAATGTGGTGCCACATTTGATTACTGGCCCTGCTGCGGCAAGGACCTAAAATTCCCACAACATTCCCCAACAAAGCAGTAAATGAGTTAGGCTGACAAAAGGGATATGTATTGGGATGCAGATATGGGAGGTTTGGGAACGACCACATTGTTTACTGACATGATAGAAGAGTTTGAGGACAAACAAAGTGATTTTCAGCAATAAAGTCCTTGTGTCTACACAGGGGAAATCTCTGGAAACGCATTAGCAGTTCTGTTTTCCTGGGCAGAAGGTGAATTCCACGTGCCAGTGTCTCAAGATCCCACTAACAAAACAACTGAGAGCACTTGTGGGGGAAGTACAAGGAGCAATCACAGAAAGAAGAACATTTACACCCTTACAAGCTCTTTCCATCTCCAGGAAGTCTTCAGAGAAGGAAACACTTGGGACTCAGGAGGAGCAGGAACATGAGGCAGAGCTCAAGGCAACTCCATCCCACAAAGCCAGACAGGGAACTCTCTAACAACACAAGGGAAAAGCACAGTGGAGCAGCAGAAGGGACTTGACATGTTCAGAGGACTGTCTGGACCCTGATCCCAGGGAAAGCTCCACCACCACAGCTCATGGCAATGTATCTGAGTAATGAACGCAGGCTCCGACCCAACTATTCTCTCAGCTCAGACAAATTTTTTCCATAATCCCAAATGAATCCCATTCCAAACGCGTTTCAAACAGCAGCAAATCAGTTGCCTCAGATACAAAAGAGCTGCCAGTCTGGAGACCCACAAGACTTAAGGAACCCAATTGTGCCTTAGTGCACAATGAACCTCCCTTCCCCTGAAGACTTTAACGTTCTCAATTCCAGTGGCAATCCAGTGGTTCATACTGGTTATGAGCAGCCTGTCTTGTTTCCACAGCAGGGCACCCAGCTACACTATGAGTATATGGGGTGAAAATCACAGAGCTACAAATCCAGCCTGTAACACATCACAAGTGCTAAAATGTTTAACAAAAACACAGCCAAATCCCTTTCAAGACTCTCAGCTTGCTCCTACGAGTCTAGGTGACTTCTGGCCTTGCTGCTTTTATCTCCTTATCATCTCAGGATACTAATTTGACTTGGCGTCAGATATAGCCAGTGTAAAAGTCAAGAGAAAAGAGGAAAATCAGGATACAAGTCAGGTTTCTAATGGATTAGAAGTTCAAAAGCTTTACCTTAACACCAAAGGAGTTCTGAGGACCTGAAGGAAAATTATCTTAGTCCCAAGACTCTTAAGAGAATTTCAATGACAGCAAGTGTTGAAAATATTTAGATGCCGATATGGAAAGCGAGCTTCTTTTCCAGTATCAGTTCAGAAGGGGTTGCTAGGAGAGAGACAGGAGGGAATTTTTCTGCAGCTGATTACAGGCTCCCTATATAGTGCCTGAAATGTGCCAGAAGCGCAAAGGCCAACGGTGGCACGTATTAGCATTACAGTAACATCCACAGCCCCCTATCAAGATCAAGGCTCCATTGTTCAGGGTTGAGCTCGTAGGAAATTGTTTCTTCAGTGAGAATGAGAAGTGATTTAAAGCATTTTGCCTATTCTGCTTTGGGACAAAACCCTTTCAAATGTGGAGAGTGAGAGACTGCCCGACCGCCAGCCAGAAAGAGAGTGGCCACTGTGGATTTGCCTGTTCCAGGGTTGAGTTCCCATTCCCTCATCTTTGTGCAGGGCCACCCACCACCATAGGGCTGGTAGTAATAGAAAAGATAATGTTAGGATTCAGCTTTACACCCAGATCTCCCCGAATCCCAGCTGAACATCACAGCCAACAGATGCGGGTCTGTTTGCAGGTCTGTTTGCTTCTTCCTGGCCTGAAAAACAATCCCAACAAACCCTTCATTAAGTTTCTTTTAAATTAATGTAAGTTATAAGCTTGGATACATCAGTTTCCAGCTAAAAATATTTCACTGACAGTATCTTTGCAAGCCTAGCAACACAAATGGCCACGAGCACCCTGCCCTAAGCCCAAAGAGGCAGGCAGAGGAGAAAGGGAATGCCCAAGGAAAAAATAAAGTTGTATATTTATCTGTGTGCATCTCAAAGTCACAGACAGGTCATTACCAGAAAGTAAGTTCCTACATTCTAAGGATTGTTGCTGTGTCTTCTCTTACTTACAGGCTTGGCTACAACTATTCTTTCAGGTGAAGAACCTCACCAGAGCAGACATTCTGAATTTGAGGGGAAAATCAGAAGGCCACATTTACATGTCTGTAAAATATAAACAAAATCTTAGAATGGTTTGGGATGAAGGGACCTTAAAGCTCCTCCAGTTCCAACCCCTGCCCTGGGCAGGGACACCTTCCACTAGAGCAGGTTGCTCCAAGCCCCTGTGTCCAGCCTGGGGTGCCAGCGCCTCAGCACCCTCACAGGGAAGAGCTTCTGCCTCAGAGCTCATCTCAATCTCCCCTCTGGCAGGTTAAAGCCATTCCCCCTTTTCACTACATTGCTCTGTCGCTCCAGTCCCTGATGAAGGTCCCTCTCCAGCATCCTTGTAGCCCCCTTCACACACTGGAAGCTGCTCTGAGGTCTCCAGCAGCTTCTCTTCTCCAGGCTGAACAGCCCCAATGTTCTCAGCCTGGCTCCATACGGGAGCTGCTCCAGCCCCTGATCATCCTCGTGGCCTCCTCTGGACTTGCTCCAACAGCTCCATGTCCTTCTGATGTTTAGGACACCAGAACTGCACCCA